TTACTGAGCACAAATTATGCTAGACAATATGGGTATTGTCAAAAGCAGAATAATGCACTTCCCCCAATGTCCCTGTCTTAATCCCTGGAACCTATGAATATGTTATTTCATATCATGAAGAGAGATTAAGGTGTTAATCAACTAACTAACTTTAAAATAGGGAGATTGTCCTGGATTATCTGAGTGGGCTCGATCTGATCACAAGATTCCTTCAAAGTAGATAAGTGAGACAGACGAAGTGAAGCCTATAGATGCTGGAAATGGCAAGACCAGTTCTTACCTAAAGTCTCCAGAAAGAATATAACACTGTATATGTTAATTATACTTGAATTTAAAGAGTGAGAGAGAGAGAGAGAGAGAGAGATTTTAAAAATAAAATAAAAACCACCAAGCAAAAATTCAAAAACAAAAAACCTAAAAGCCCTCTATAAGGAACATAGACCTTGCTGACACCTCAATTTTAGCCCAGTATGACCAGTGTCAGACACTTGACATACAGAACTGTAAGATAACAAATCTGTGTTGTTTCATGCCAGTAAGCATGTGGTAATTTGTTACAGCAATAACAAAACGTTAATACAGGAGTGCCAATGCATGAAAAAAATAAATGAATCCTGCCCCAATAGAACTTAAAGTCTGGTAGGAAAGTAAATAGTTATTCAATAATAGTAAATGTCATTGGAAAGTAGTTATTCTGTGAAGTGCTACAAAAGAGTATAAGCTTTGAAATGTTTGTTCATATTTAAAAAGAGTTCTATTATGTTCTAAAGTCAGTGTAAAAAGCACAAATCATCAGAGTCATGATTAATTCTGAATAACTCTTAAAGCATCCACATTAGATTTTATTATACATGGTTTTGGCCATCCTGGCCAGAGTAGTAATTCTAAAGCTTGATAACCAGTAAACCAGATTAACAAAACAAAAGCGGAGTCTATTATGCTGAGTGTCTGCTTATCAAATGTGTCTTCTTTTTTGAAAATAATCAAATGTCTGACAGTGACTGGAGGAAGGATGTGGAGAATGCTAAAATACTGGGCTTCAGGGTTTACACTATTTTATTTTTCACAGGAATCTTTTAAAACCTCATTTCTAATAGTGAAATGCTAGATATAATCATATTAAATTTACAAATAAAATAAGTTTCCTGTGAATTTTAATACTTTTAAACTTGTTCCAGACATTCTGATCAGCATATGATATGACAAAAAAAAAAAAAAAGAGCTGTAATCATTAGAAAGTTGAAGATAAAAATGCTCTTTTTTCTTTTTATTTTATTTTATGGTGGCAGGAACATTTACAGATGGTATTATATCTGTATATATATATATATATATATATATATATATATATATATACAGATATATATCTGTAAATATACAGATATTTCTTGGAGAAATCAAGAAATCAACTGAAGCACTCTAAATTTACCAAGAGATTATTAATAAATTGTTTCATATAAAATGAAACATAACTTTCTCTTAGAAGTTATGTTATAAAAGAGAATCATCTATAATAAAGAAACAAATAATCAAGTACCCACCAAGTCACTAACCAGTGAATGCACAGAATCTACATGAAGAAAAAAGGTTAAAAAGGAAAAGGAGAAAAAGACATGGCAAATGCCCTGTGAGTTAACTAAGAACATTTTAGGTTAAAGAGTTATGTCAGTATGTTTGGGTGGGATGAAGACTTGGGGAGGAATAAAGAGGTATAGCTTATATGAGAATCCAGTAGAGTTTCAGAAGCTTCATAAGTTAATAGGAAGTGAAAGAGTATTCAGGAAATTATTTTGTAATAAAGCATTGGGTCTTCATTGTACATGATTAACCAAAATATATGTCATGCATATTAAAGTGTTCATATTTTCTAATTAAAATTTTATTGCTATGTGTGATATAAAAGAAAAAACTAGAGGCATCACAATACCAGATTCCAAACTGTATCACGAAGCTGTGTCATCAAGACAATATGGTACTGGCACAGAAACAGACACATAGATCAATGGAACAGAATACAGAACCCAGAAATGGAACCACAACTATATGGTCAACTAATTTTTGGCAAAGGAGAAAAGAATCCCCAATAGAAAAAAGATAGTGTCTTCAACAAATGACAAATGGTGTTGGGAAAACTGGACAGGCACACATGAAAGAATGAAACTGGACAACTTTCTTACAACATACACAAAAATCAATTAAAAAATGGGTGAAAGACCTAAATGAAGACAGGAAACGATCAAAATCCTAAAAGAGACCACAGGTAGAAACCTCTTTGATCTTGGCCACAGCAACTTCTTACCAGATATGTCTTCCAAGGTAAGGGAAACAAAAGCAAAAATGAACTATTGGGACTTCATCAAAATAAAAAACTTCTGCACAGCAAAGAAAACAACCAACAAAACTAAAAGGCGGCCTATGGAATGGGAGAAGATTTTTGCAAATGATATATCAGATAAAAGGCTAGTGTCCAAAATCTACAAAGAACTTACCAAACTCAACACTCAAAAAACAAATAATCCGTTTAAGAAATGGACTGATGACATGAATAGACACTCTTCCAAATAGGACATCCACATGGCTAATAGACACATGAAAAGATGCTTGACATCACTCATCATCAGGTAAATATAAATCAAAACCACAATGAGATAGCATCTTACACTTGTCAGGATGGATAAAATTAAGAACACAAGAAACTAGTGTTGGCAAGGATGCAGAGAAAGGGAAACCCTCTTGCACTGTTGGTAGGAAGGCAAACTGGTGCAGCCACTCTGGAGAACAGCATGGAGGTTCCTCAAAATTAAAAAAATAGAATGACTCTACAATCCAGCATTGCACTACTAAGTATTTACTCAAAGAATACAAAAATACAGATCGGAAGTGATACATGCACCCTGATGTTTACAGCAGCATTATCAACAATAGCCAAACTACGGAGAGAGCCCAAATGTCCATTAACTGATGAATAATAAAGATTTGGTGTGTATACACACACACACACACACACACACACACACACACAGACACACAAAGGGAATATTACTCAGCTATAAAAAAGGATGAAATCATGTCACTTGCAATGACACATATTATGCTAAGTAAAATAAGTCAGTCAGAGAAAGATGAATACCCTATGATCTCACTCAAATGTGGAATTTAAGAAAGAAAACAGATGAACATATGGGAAGGGGGAAAAGAATATAAAAGAGAGAGGGAAACAAACCATAGGAGACTCTCAAGGATAGAGAACAGAGGGTTGATGGAGGGTTGTGGGTGGAGAAGAGGCTAGATGGATGATGAGGATTAACGAGGACATCTGTAGTGATGAGCACTGGGTATTGTATGTAAGTGATGAATCACTGAATTTTGTTCCAGAAACCAATATTGCATTGTATGTTAACTACTTAAAATTTAAATTAAAAAGAAAATAAAAATAAAGAAATAAATAAACTGATAATGGAGGGGACTCAATAAGCAACAAAGAAATGGTGGAAAAATAGATTTGGCAGCACAAAGATATAAAATGTCTGCATAGCAAACATCCTGTAAAAATGTGAAGATTTACTATAAATGGAAAGATTTACTATAAACAAATTAAATATTTGCAGCAAACACAGCTGATAAAAAGTTAATATTCTTATGAAAAGGTTTAAAAATGCAATGGGAAGACTTGTTAATTGAAAAAAGAAGCATGAATGTTTTGATCAATGTCGTATATGCAGATTAAAGTAAAAAGAATATATGATTTTTAAACTTATTACTTTAGAAATAGTCATGTATTAAAAATCAATATTGAACAGTACTGATTTTATTTTATTTTTTTAATTAATTAATTTATTTATTTATGATAGTCACACAGAATGAGAGAGAGAGAGGCAGAGACATAGGCAGAGGGAGAAGCAGGCGCCATGCACCGGGAGCCTGACGTGGGATTCGATCCTGGGTCTCCAGGATCACGCCCTGGGTGAAAGGCAGGCGCCAAACTGCTGCGCCACCCAGGGATCCCACAGTACTGATTTTATAGTGAGATGTTTTTCATTCTGGGATTATTAGTAAATATATATTTTCTGAAATATCATTATCAATATATACTAAAAGGCCCTAAAACTTATATGTTGTATTTTAATATTCTTACTTCTAATACTCTATCTTAATAAAATAATCATAGGTTCTGACAGGGAAGATTTTTGTACAAAGATTTTAACCACAGAATGCTCAATTTTAGTCAGCATAATAAAATACATTTTTATTTCAATATTTAGTACATTGAAGTCACTTAACAAATACCTTTTAACTGAAAAATTAATGACTACCTTTTAAGTAGAAAAAATGGAAATAAGCCTAAGGATCTACTAGAGAAAAAGATATATACATTACATTAAAAATTACATAAAACGTTATATGCAATTACAGCAATTATATGTAGTATGGTAAATGTAGTAGCCAGACTCCAAGATGGCCTCAAGGATCCTTATCTCCTGGTATTCATACATTTGTGTAATGTCTTCCTCTCCTTTAGTATGGGTTAGTCTTAGTGACTGTTTAGTTACTGAATTACATGGTAGAAGTGATGGTATGGGGGCACCTGGATGGCTCAGTGTTTGAGTGTCTCCCTTTGGCTCAGGTCGTGATCTCGGGGTCCTGGGATCAAGTCCTACATCAGGCTCCCCACAGGAAGTCTGCTTCTCCCTCTGTCTAAGTCTCTCTCTCTCTCTGTCTCTCATGATTAAATAAATAATATAATAAATAATATATATATATATATATTTTTTTTTTTTTAAAGAAGTGATGGTATGTGACTGGAAGACTTGGTCATAAAAGGTGTATCATCTTTCTCTCTCTCCCTCTTTCTCTGTCTCCCCTCCTCTCTCCCTCTCACTCTTTCTTCATCCACTCTGGGAAAAGTAATGGTGGGAACAGCTCCACAGAGAAGCTCATGTGCTGAGAAATGGTCAGTCAATAAATAGCCAACTGAGTAAGCTTCAATGTTAATTCTCTAGGGTCAGTCAAGTCTTCTGAGACTGTAACGCCACTACAGCTTGACTGCAGCCTCATGAAACATCCTGAGCCAGAACCTCCCAGGTAGGCCATCCTGAATTCCTGACACTCAGAAACTCTGTAACATAATAAATACTTGGTTTAAGTCCTGGAATAATATATTATGTGACATTTATATAGTATGTTTCAAGGTGTTAAAGTATCAGTCACGTAATCATGTTCTCAAAGACTAATGGCATAACAGTATTCATATGAGATAGCATCAAAGGTTATAAAGATATTTGAAAAACACACCTCATGAAGTAGAATTTTGTGAACCTTACAACCCCAAGTTAAATCCATCTTTATAGGTCTTGAAAGAAAACACACCAAGATGTTAACAGTAATATTACATAGATATGATAATTGCTTATTCTAATTTTTTGTATTTGCCTGTTCTCTCTTTGAAAGTTCTGTAATGAGCATATATATTCCTTTTATAATTAGAAACCTGAAATAAACCATTGGCTATTGTATTTAAAATGTGTCTTATGGGACTCCTGGGTGGCTCAGCAGTTGAGTGTCTGCCTTCTGCTCAGGGTGTGATCCTGGGGTCTGGGATTGAGTTCCATATCAGGCTCCTTGCGGGGAGCCTGCTTCTCCATCTCTTCCTGTGTCTCTGCCTCTCCCCCTCCATGTCTCTCATAAATAAATATATAAAATCTTTAAAAAAATACATAAAGTGTGTCTTATAAATTTGTGCAAATAAATTCCCATGTAATTCATTGGAAAAAAGAGAGGCAAACATTTTCACATGCAAAGAGAAAAGAATATGTTAAAAATTCACTGTTCTTTTTTTTTCACTGTTCTTCTAAGAATGTATATTCCTCCTTAGTCATAATTATGACTCCTCTCTTTGTTATAGTCAGTTCTTACCTTCCTTTTGCCATTAAAGATGCTTTACTTAACCTAATAATTTCTATAATAATGGATGTAAATTCCTTTTCAAGATCTTCATTATTTTTCTTGCTCATATTCCTCTCCTTGAATTTCCTTTGTCCTTGTGAACAGTTGGTTTGCAGACTAGATCAAGTGCTGGATTTCTTTGAAGATTCAGCCAACTCTAGGAGGAGGAATGTGGGGATAATTTCCTATACACACTTAATGGGACCTAAGCAGGCAATGAGTGGGACCTGATTAACCAGGCCCCATACAAGTTTGATAGAGCATAATCTTGGGTCACAAGATATGAATTCACTCACTCATTCATTCATTTAATTACTCAACAAATTTTTTACTGAGTTTATTTGCTATGCATCAAATACTATGTTAAGTCTTGACATATGATGATAGTTCCTACCTGAGAAATAAGATGTGAAGGTTGGGTCAAAACAATAGCACATGCCTAGACTCTGGAGTGGAGGGAGGCATGGTGCATACAAAGGACTGAGGAAAGTTCCCTTTGGCTCTAGTGGAGTGAGTGGGAGTAAATGTGATCCACTGAGAGCTTTCAAACCACTAGGAAGTTCATACTAAGAACACTAAGAAGTCCCTAAGTAAAAAATAAATAAAAAAGAGCAGCCTCCGACATTTGAAAGCTGGCCTAGAATCCATAGCAAAGGCAAATTATGCTGTTAAACATAAACAATCTTATAGAATACCAACCTCAGACAAGGTTTCTCAGGGACTACATTTTGATAAAACAAGGCCATTTCATGGGTGCCTGGATGGCTCAGTCAGTAGAGCATGTGACTCTTAATCTCAGGGTCTTTGAGTTCAAGCCCCATGTTGGGCATGGAGCCTACTTAAAAATAAATGGATAAAAAATAGAAGGCCACTTCATACTTTGTGTAAGCATAGGCAAAAAAAAAAAAAAAAAAAAAGTCACTGTGCTACCCCCAAAATACCAAACATCCCGTCTTGGCCAAAATATATGACTGATACTTCTTTACCAATTACAGTTTTGTCTTTGTGGTAGATAAGATTTATTAGATATCTAATCATAGATTAACCTCTGTTTTCTGACTAAAACCTAAAGCAAAATAAGGTTCTTTTTTTTTTCTTTTTTTAGGATTTTATTTATTTATTTATGAGTGATACAGAAAGAGAGAGGCAGAGACATAGACAGAGGGAGAAGCAGGCTCCATGCAGGGAGCCTGATGTGGGACTTGATCCTGGAACTCCGGGATCACACCCTGAGCCAAAGGCAGATGCTCAACCACTGAGCCACCCAGCTATCCCTAAAATAGGTTCTTTCTGACACCCTCTTACTGAGATACTCCATGGTTTCCTATGGTGTGCTTTGTCCTCCACTGTAATGTCATAAACCCAACTGGTTTAATCCCAAGCATATTCATGGTGCTCTTTGGCTGAAGGGCACTGATACCACCTTGAGGTTTTTGACATACTTAGAATACATTTTGAGAAGGTTTTACTGAGAGAGCCAATAAAATGGAAAGTAAGTAAGAGTATCTTAAATTCCTATATAGGCCAAGATAGATTTATATGGTCCCTCCCAGGTTAATTTTCTCCCTTCCTTTTAGTCCTTTTCATGGGTTCAAGGGAAGTTTTTGCCTTTCCTTACCTCACTTTTCCTTCAGTGTTGATCTCACGCATATTCTGGAAGCACTATGTAGAACTCCATATCTCAGAACATGAGCAAAATTAAGTGTATGCTTTGAAAGCAAATGGGGAGACATTTATCCCTCACGCCATTTGATTTAGTGTATGTTCTCTATAGTAAGATAATGAGATGAAGACTCATGTGCTAATGATCTGTTAACGAATTCTCCTAGGAGGGGCACCTGGCTGGCTTGGTTGATAGAGCATGAAACTCTTGATCTTGAGGTTGCAAATTCGAGCCCCACGTTAAGTGTAGAGATTACCTAAAAATAAAATCTTAAAAAAATTACTCCTAGAAGAAATCTGTAAGACCATGAAGGAAAAATAAGGGATAAAGTCAGGCAAGGATGCAGTTACAGGCAAAATCCCAGTATCAGCCTGGTCCACTGGGAGCTTTGAAGTGTAAATTATACCTCAGAATTTGTATCAACTTGAGGCAAGGATCTGGGCTATCATACTCTGACATGAATTAGTCATTGGTAATGGCTGTGCCAGTGCTGCATTACCCTACAGGCACTTCCAGTTCCAGTAGTTAGGAGCAGCCATACAAAGAAAGTCATAAATGGAAGTAGTTTAAAGCAAAAACAAGTTGGGGCAGCGGTTTCACAAAAATGGTCAAATATATTCCAGAGGATATGGTGGAGCATTTCCATTTCCTAATCCTTGTCTATGTATCTTCATTTCCTACTCCTGGACTGACCTTTCCAAGAATGATGACAATGGAAACATCTATTTGCCTTGGAGGAAGCTCTTACAGAGATATGTGTGGACCACTGGCTCCTACAAAACAAATTTATATAGCAGAACCTTACTCTATTTCCTGAAAATCATTTTAATTAATCAATTAATTAATTAATTTAATTTTCCTGAAGTCCTTCATTTTAAATATACCCTGAGGAGCATCTAATGGCCAATTCAGATTTCCCTGCAACAATTTTCATTTTGTTCCATTTTCATTCTTCTCCCAGTAAGTGTTCAAGAAAATATGGGACCAGTTTGACACATTTGTCACATCAATAGATATGTTAGGCATATAGCACACTGCCTGGCACTGTGTAGATCCTAAGTATATAGTAGCAATCTTTATAATTGTTTCATTCTAAAACCCTACACCAACAGGATGCTAAATGCTAGGGGAGGGAATTACTCTTTTTTGGCTATTATTGACCAATTATCCACTATTCTTTCTATCCATCTAGGACCTGAAAGATGGCTTGGCCTCTGCCACGTGACACAACCATCTGTAGCTTGTGCTTTTGGGGACCAGAATCCTTTTTTCCCCTAAAATTATCAGCATGGCTATAATGGCTCAGTAACAAACACATGTCTTGTATAACTTTGTGGAGGGAAGATTTCCAGAAGTCTCTCTCACTGCTTGGAGGCAGCAAAAAGAGAGAGGATAAGTTGCCAAGATATCTCTTCCAACATAATGAGCACTAATTGAATGTCTTGTATGAAAAATGTATAAAACTATAAAGACATCATCACTTAGATGACTTGGGCTGCAGCCTGGCCAGATGCAGTTCTATGTTTCAGACATGATGTCATAAGCCAGTAAAGATGTGTTATAAATTTTTAAAAATTGCATTTGCTTGGACTGGTCAAGTATTCTAGGGTAAGCCATCAAGCAAATGATGAAGAAATGCCCCTGTTGCTCCAACATTCTTTAGTTCTAGTGCACTGTTCCTTTTTTGGTTCTCATATAAATATATCCCTCCTTCCAAAAGAGCTGGCCTTTTCTATCTCCCTTGTCTCCAATTACAACTTGCTTGTTTACTGTAGGTTAACTCATTGGGCCCAAGGGTCGAGAAACAGGAAAAGGCAGGGACTTTGCTGTGGGATCTCCAGGAATATCCAGGAAGTTGGGGACATGGCCAGAAAGGATTTCATAATAGGTTGCATGATTTTATTGAATTCTTTGGTAAGAATAAGGGATAAAGGTGGAATTTTGGTGATTTTTGATGGAATGAAACACTGTAGTGGTGTTTTAGAATACCAGGCTGCTGCTCTACTAGTTAAAATATCAATGCTCTATTAATTTATCCCTCTCATCAAGTTCAGAAAAATCTAAGTGCATAAAAAAAGAACAAAGAGAATGAGATGAGAATACATTTATTTGAAATATATTGACAAGTATCTAATTGACCTCTAATGCAATGCTGTTTGGCAAAACACAAATTAAAGAATGTAGCTCAAACATAAAAGGAATGTCCTGGGATCTAACCAGTCAAGTTATCTTCTCTGTTTGAGACATATTGGGAAGGGGCATTTGCAGATTTAGTTCTAGAACAGAAAGAGAGCTAGAAATTTTCCTTATGAGACCCTGCTCTAGTTTGTTTTCTTTCTTAACAGAGAGGCTAGCATGAAAATCAAGCAAAGGTATGGCTGTCCTGGCCTACCTCTGTGAGACTATTTCCCCAATATCATCCTTTGTTTGCTTTTAACCATAGAGTCACTGAAGCCGTTGTCTTTGCAACTGACCAGAACAAACATGAAGCTAACTTTAAGGCTAAACTATTCACTAGGCCAAAGTTGCACTCTCAGTTCTATTTACCACCTTATATTAATAGTGATGAGTCGCCCTCATCCTAAACCCAGGATGAGATTTCAAATAAAGCCAATTAATAATGATCCAAATATGTAAATGTTTTATAATCTCTTCCTTCCTCTGACCTCTGGTTATCTAAGATAAGAGAAACACAAGATCCAGGGCTTCAGAACACAAGATCCAGGGCTCTGAGCAAGCGTGCCTGGTCCAGCCCAGGCTTTCACACATAAGAACTGGATGACATTTACTAAGTTACATATCCTCTATTTGACTCCTATTCCTAGTTTCTTAAATGGAATAATAATAGTTATTACCCCATAGAGTTTTTGTGTTGATTAATCAAGTTATTATATGGGTATCATATAGAATAATGCCTGGCATAGAGTAAGCAGCATATAGACCTATTTGTCATTATGAGCACATTTATTTTAAAAGGAAAAGAACCAGACAGAATGTGCCATTAAAGGAACAGTTCTTTGGCCATACCCTGAGTTTCTGGGTTATGGTATATGAGACTTCCTCCTTGGGGAGGAGTTAGGAAGAAGGTGGTAGAAGCAGAATTAGACTAAGAAGACTAACAATGTGATCCAGAACTCCAGTTTCTCATATAACCAAAGACAGAGCAAACCAAAGGGCAAAAGAGATAGGATATTGACCAGGGACCAAGATGGGAGGCAGAAAGCTGGGGGTAACATGACAAAATTATAGAACTCGTTTGAGGGTATATTCCTGCAAAAAACAGGTTATGTCATCTAGAATTACTTTTAGACATATTGGTGAAAATCCTTTCAAAAGGGATCCCTGGGTGGCGCAGCGGTTTAGCGCCTGCCTTTGGCCCAGGGCGCGATCCTGGAGACCCAGGATCGAATCCCACGTCGGGCTCCCGGTGCATGGAGCCTGCTTCTCCATCTGCCTGTGTCTCTACCTCTCTCTCTGTCTCTCTGTGAGTATCGTAAATAAATAAAAATTTAAAAAAAAATCCTTTCAAAAGCCTTACTCTTTGCTTCGATGTGGATGGGCCTGGAGGGTATTATGCTGAGTGAAATAAGTCAATCGGAGAAGGACAAACATTATATGGTCTCATTCATTAGGGGAATATAAATAATAATGAAAGGGAATTGAGGGGAAGGGAGAAGAAATGGGTAGGAAATAATCAGAAAGGGAGACAGAACATGGAAGACTCCTAACTCTGGGAAACGAACTAGGGGTGGTGGAAGGGGAGGAGGGTGGGGGGTGGGGGTGACTGGTTGGCGGGCACTGACCGGGGCACTTGATGGGATGAGCACTGGGTGTTATTCTATATGTTGGCAAATTGAACACTAATAAAAAATAAATTTATTATTAAAAAAACTAATAAAAAATAAAATGGTGACTAAGTGGAAAAATAAATTACTTGGGAAAAAAAAAAGCCTTACTCTTCTAAAGGAGTTATCTTTCATTGAGAGTAGATTTTTATATTTAAAAAAAACCCCACCATTTGGATATGAAAGAGAAATGAAAAATACGGTAATATGCTCTTTTTAAAAAAATGATGCCATGATCAGAAAAAAAAATGGTATATCATTTTAGTTTTATGTGTCTAATCTCTAAGTACCTTTATATATGTTTTTGGTCTTTATCTACCCTCTCACCTCGGAATATGAATTGACTGCTCATGACTTTGCTTACTTTTATATTGAGGATTTGTTCTCCTTACAAAGTTGTATCTTCTTATGTGGAACATTAAGAACTTCATGCAACACTTTCTAGTGACCGGGGAAAGTTGAGTACTTGGTAGCAGGGCTCATGTTGCTAAAACTCATGAATTCACTGCTTTCTGCCTCTCTTCACTTTTGTTAGCCCCAGGTTCCCATGTAGTGCCATCTTGGCCACTTGGATATTTGTTTCATTGTGTGCACTGATACTCTTTCTTTCTCTCTCTGATGAGGATTCATTTCTCAGGGTCTTTCTTGCCATTTTTCTTATTTATAAAATCTATCCACTGCTTCTATTTGATACTGAGATTACCTTTGCTAATTTTAAGAAACATTAAACTTCCTGTTCAAGACAGAAGTCTCCTTCCACAGTGATAGTAGAGTTTGCCAAGAAATTCTTGAAACAAAGGAATGAGGGGAGTGAGGGCTGTTTCTTAAGGGAGGAGACCTCTGAAAGTACACAGAATTTGCAGAAGACAAGAGGGAAAGAGGTGTGCTTTTGAAATTCTCTTCTTGGGTGTGAAGCATCACTGACTAAACTTACCCTATTTACATGCCTGGCTCCAAATATAAATGTAAAAGATAATTTTCAGATAAGCAGAGAGATTCTAAATATGGACACATATTTAAATGTGTCCACATATGGACACATGGAATTTGTAAAGGTGAATATTATCTAGAGTGATGTCAATACACTTTCAAATTATTTATATATTTATTAGCATCGACTCATGTCCTTCAAGAATGTAGATATGAGAGTTGCCTAGCCCTGAAACAGGAGCCATAATTTAATATCTATTGATAATTGGGTCAACAAGCCTTCCTTGGACACTCAAAATGTCATAGTACCTGGGTAGGTGCTATGGAGTAAGCAAAGAGGAAAGGGAACTGAATCCCTGCTCTCAGGTTTGAGGACTAGAAAAGAAGATTTGAGGCACTAAGTGATAGATCAACATATTTCAAAATTTATTCTATAATTAATGGCAGTTAACTGAAACATTTAAAAGCCTTACCATATATGTTCTCTTAATTTTTTTTGAAGAAGTATGAGTTTTAAAAGGCTTTGCATTTAACATCTTTGAGTAGAAAATATGATTCCTTCTGATCTCATTCTCATGGCACTTAGCATAATTTCACCAGTCTACAGTGAAATATGACATACAGCAGTAAGAAGAGATGAAGCTGATGGTGATGGTTGGGTCAATGACTGGGAAAACAGGCAAAAATATGGATGAAGAAACTCATCCAAATATAAAGGTCAGAATAAAACTATTACTGAACTATTATTTATTGAGTACCTATTAGGTTCCATGCAAGCGTCTTTTGCATTTGGCCTTAGAAAGGTGCTATGTGAAGCTTAACTTAACATACCTAGACATACAGACATACATTTTGATCAGAGGTAATAAAAGGTTATAAAGGGAAGCAATTTCTGTGGAAATGAAGAGTAGGGCAAATACTTAAGGAGATAAAATCTATAGAATTTGGAAAATATTTTTGTAATAAGGGGGCTGATAACTACGGAGAAATCCAGAATGAGTCTGACATTATAGAAAAAAAGGAGAACAGCGTTTGTTATGATGTATAATGGGGGAAAGGAAGGATCAGACATAAATAATCTGGGAAGAGTTTTGCTTGGTGAACCTTTTTGTATGGACTGGTTTTTTATGGTTCATCTGTCGACAGGTAGGCTTGCCAAGAGGCAGCATGCAGCTTATGACAGTCTTCACCATGCCAGGCCTTTATGAAATGATAAAGAGTGGTTCCTGGATGATAGATGCTCCTGCTGTAGCAGGGGAAATTGTCAGGAGCTTAGAGGTGCTTAGCAGATAACACGCATTTGTTCCAGGGTACACTGACACTGCAAAGCAAAGCAAGCAGCAATTTGTTATTTGGTGTTTGAACAGGGTTTGAGACTGCTGATTTAGTGGACAGAGCAAGATAACAGACCTGTAACCATGCAAATCATCAAGAAACCCGGAAAAGGAAATACTGTCCCATCTAAATCTACCTGCCATAATAAGGGATAAATTCCCTTTTCAAGTTTACTATTCAGTCAGAGGTCACATGATGGACCAAGCCTGATGTGAGCAAACCAACAATGTTAACCCACTAGCACTATTTCTGACACTGATTAGGAGCTTGATCAATATTGTTGAGTGAGTTTTTCCGATTTGCTTCTTTGTTTAAAGATTTTATGAGTCTTGATTAATTTTACCCTGTAAATGTTTATATTCCTATTTCCCACTTTGTGTCACAAATGACACACCTGTGAATGTCCACATTATTGTGTAATAAGCTTGAATATAAGACCAACTTTATGACTAACATGACACCAAGCCAAGAAGTTCCAGATGTTCATTTGAAACAATCTGACTGCATACCTGTATGTCATCAGTGTTGAATGACCCTAATCCATTAATAAATCATGAATCAATCTTTAGAAAAAGATATGAACTCTTCAGTCAAAGGGATAAGACATTTAACTCATAAAGTTCATCTGCTGACACAAATGGCATTTTGGGTTTCAATTTCTCATTCAAGAGCATCTTCCAAAACCTAACTAACACAAATGTTGTTTGTAGTACTCAAATGATTCACCAAGTGAGGAACAGGATTTATTAACAGTTTTCATGTTAGAGCATACTTTTCTTTGATGCACATAAAGTTGAATTGTGCCATTTGCAATTGGTGATAAGCATCTTGAAGAAACAAAGAGATTTTTATATCTCTAATCTAATTTTAACATATATTCTTTTCACTTCTCACTTCCTACTATTAGTTTTTATTTTCCTATTGTTTTTATTAATAGACTAAGTGAAATATAGCTCATAGTGGTAGCTCGATCTTTCCTATCTGATTTTCATAGAAATGTTTCATATATTTCACATAAGAATAAAATAACTTATTTTATGATTAAATATATTCAAGTACTTTCCTACCTGTCTGCTAATATTCACCAGATACATACTGATAGTTTTTTGAACTATTTCCTAGGAGAATAATTCCAGACCCTCATGACTCTAGTATTCTTCACCAAATGAGTCAACATTATTAGACCCAAGATTCCAGTCAGTGCATCTTAAGATATCTTATGGAATATTATATAAACTAAAAAATTAGGTTAATATTACTATGCACTTATTATATGATTTTCTATTTCCCTGAATCTATCAAAGGACAAAACTTTTTCTTATACACTGCATCCCAATTCTCATTACCTTTTTAGGGGTGCTTTGATAGTTTATTTTTTTTTAATTTTTTTAAAATTTATTTATTTATGATAGTCACACAGAGAGAGAGAGAGAGAGAGAGAGAGGCAGAGACATAGGCAGAGGGAGAAGCAGGCTCCACGCACCGGGAACCCGATATGGGATTCGATCCCGGGTCTCCAGGATCGCGCCCTGGGCCAAAGGCAGGCGCCAAACCGCTGCGCCACCCAGGGATCCTGCTTTGATAGTTTAATATCCTCAAGGTACTTTCCAAGTAGAAGGTATTAAAACAACCTGGCAAATAATTATCTTTTCTTACCACACA